AAATCTTCACACAAATCTCATCAAAGGCGAATTCCCGGACGAAACCCTTTTCTCCATCAAGGTCATACAGCCATGGTACGCTAACATTGTAAATTTCCTCGTTTCCGGCAAATTTCCTCCACAATTCTCAAAAACTCAAAAAGAAAAATTAAAAATGGACTCAAGACTCTATGTGTGGGATGACCCATATTTGTGGAAACATTGTAAGGACCAAATAATCCGAAGATGTGTCCCCGAATATGAGATAGCTCACATTATAGAGTTTTGCCATTCTTATGCTTGTGGAGGACATTTCGGACCGAAACGGACGGCAATGAAGATACTTGAAAGTGGCTTTTGGTGGCCAAGTCTTTTCCGGGATGCACATGGCTTTTGTCAATCTTGTGACAATTGTCAAAGAGCGGGCAACATTTCAAGGAGAAACGAGATGCCACAAAACCCCATGCTTTTCTGTGAGATTTTCGATGCATGGGGTATTGACTTCATGGGACCTTTCCCAAACTCTCAAGGTAACATCTACATCCTTCTTGCGGTAGATTACGTCTCCAAATGGGTGGAGGCAAAGGCAACAAAGACAGATGATGCCAAAGTGGTGGCTAGTTTCCTCAAAACACACATATTTTCAAGGTTCGGGGTCCCTCGAATTTTAATAAGCGATCGAGGCACACATTTTTATAATAAAATTGTGGGATCCCTACTAAAGAAATATGGTGTGACTCACAAGATCTCCACTGCTTACCACCCTCAAACCAATGGCCAAGCGGAAACCTCAAATAGGGAGTTGAAGTCTATACTCCAGAAAACAGTGAACCCAAATCGGAAGGACTGGAGTATACGCATTGATGATGCGCTATGGGCATACCGAACTGCTTACAAAACTCCAATTGGTATGTCCCCTTATAGACTTGTGTTTGGCAAAGCTTGTCATCTCCCCGTAGAGCTTGAACACAAGTCATATTGGGCGGTGAAGGAATTCAACCTCAATCTTGACGAGGCCGGTTTGCATAGGAAACTCCAATTGCAAGAATTGGAAGAACTCCGTTTGGATTCTTATGACAACGCGGAGATCTACAAAAGAAAGACAAAGGCTTGGCATGATAAGATGATCATAAGGAAGAACTTTAAACTTGATGACAAAGTCCTCCTTTTTCAATCACGCCTTCGTCTATTTCCAGGAAAGCTGAGATCCCGTTGGACTGGACCATACAAAGTGGTCAAAATATATCCACACGGGGCGGTGGAAATTAAAAACCTGGAGACGGGAGAGGTGCTCAAGGTGAATGGACAAAGATTAAAACCCTTCTTCGAGGGTTTTCAACCCAAAAATGTGGAAGTCATGGACCTTTCTGAACCGGTCTATGAGTGAAGAACAACGAAGATATCGTCGAGCCACGACGTTAAATAAAGCGCTTCTTGGGAGGCAACCCATGCAAGGTATGTTCACTTTAATTAAATATTGCAGAGTGTGTGTGTTCAAAAATGAAAAAAAAAAAATAAAAAAAAATAAATTGAACAAACCCGACCGGGTAAACTAACCCACCAGGTCGGGTATTGAAGCCAGAACATTCTGGTTTAAAACTTTCAATAGACCCGACCGGGTATTTTAACCCACCCGGCCGGGTATGACAACCCGAACATTCTGTTTTAGAAAATTCAGGTTACCCGACCGGGTATATTATTTTACCCGACCGGGTAAATACCCGAAATTCTCACTGCCAGCCTCTGGAAAGAAAACCCGACCGGGTAAACTAACCCACCCGACCGGGTAATCGGGCTTTTCAGCCTATACCAGGTCGGGCGAACTCCCCTCCCCCCACTTCATCTTCCCCAATTCGAACACACCCACCCCAAAACCTCCATTTTCATATCTCCAAAGCTCCAAACCTCCCCATTTCTCCACCAAATCCATCAACTAAACACATTTTCTTCATCTCCTCAACACCCTCTCCCATCCTACACCCAAAAATCTCACCCAAATCCACTCATACCCAAAATCCGAAAACCCTAACCCCCCTTCTTCATAGGTCCGATTTTTCTCCCAAAACCCCCAACAAATCCCAATTTCTTCTCCTAATAATCATCCCCTACACTCTCACAACACCAAAACAACCAAAACCCACCAAAAATCAAAAGTTCCAAACCCCACCACACCCAAATCCGAAAATACCAAAAAAAAAAAAAAAAAAAAAAATCAAGCTCCATGGCACCAAAAAGGGCAAAACCTTCTTCCTCAAGGACTCCAAGGGCTATTCCACCGGTTGACGGCTTCGAGGAGGTGGACCTTGCAACCGACGCACAACGCACCCGTTTCCTCGAACAATCCGAAAGAGAGGTAAAACCCTCCCGCTTTATCTGCCAAGCGACGTTGACTTTGTTCTGGATTGATGAAATCATGAGAAATATATTCACAAGGTGTGGCATGCTAAAAATCGTTGATATGCATTATTGGTCATATTCTCGTTTAGTGTATGAATTTTACAGTTCCGTTGAGCATGTGAGTGATGAAAATGACCACACTAACAACACGATCCACTTTCGCCTGCTCAACGCGGACCGTTCACTCACTAAAAGGGAATTTGCCGAACATTTCGGCCTACCCTTGCTTGATGAAACAGTCGCGTATAGTACACCGGTGGCCCATGAACTATGGAGAAGAATGACCGGGTCGGTCAAATTTGACACGTCCCACCTCAATGTAAACCACGTCCAACACCCGGTCTTCCGAATTTTTTTTAAATTCTTGGCAAATTGCTTTTTCGGGAGACCAAATAACCATCAAACTAGAGTGTGGGACATATGCCTCTTAGCACAAGCTGTCCTTCCGGGTGCTAGCCCATACGACGTCACCACAATGCTTTGGGACCATATTATCAATGTTAAAAATGGTGGAGGAAAGATTCTGGTGGAGGGGCTGATTACCCACATTGCCACACTCTACGGTTTTCAATGCAATGGGGCACTAAACTACAGGACCGTTCTTGGCCTTAAGTTCCTAAAACACGCTGGGGATGTGACCCTGTCACACATAGAGGGTGATGGCCTGGAGATTTATAATTGGCACATCAAACCCGGCCAAGAACTGTATTTCCCCTTCCCTTCCGAAAACCTCCCTCTTGACATCATCGATCACCAAATCGGTGATGGACGTCATTATTGCTTGCCCGGGGGAATCCCACCTCAGTATGAACCCCCAAACAATGAACAAGGAAACCCTGAAGACAACCCCGCAAACGAACATATTGCCATTGAACCACCCCTCATCCCTGAACAACCACAACCACAGCCCCATGCTCATCAATATTCACCATTTGAGCAAGAAATGCTAAATAGCATGAATGCTCTCAACCTTAACTACACTCAACTCCGGAATGAGTTCGGAGTATTTAGGAATGAGCAGCGGCAGAGTTTTGAGAGGATTGAAGAACAAAGGCGGGAGGATTGGCGTAGACATGAAGAGGACCAACGGAGAACCTTTGGTCCAATATACTCTTATGTGGCACACCAGGGGTCTTTTTCGACCATGAGCAACCCCCCTCCCGCACCCTCATGGTATAACCCCACTGAATGGGGTTATTTCGGCAGTTCAAGCTCTAGTGGAGGGGGCGGAAATGACGGGCACCACGGTGATCAAATGGATGAAGATGCTCACTTCACAGGTTACCACGGCTATGGAGGGTTCTATGATGGAGGAGATGCGGGCGGGCACTAGGGACAGTGCCTCATCCTAAGTGTGGGGGTGTTGAGAACTATTCCGGTATGTACCAATTTCATGCTCTTCATTATTTTCTTAAAAAAAAAAATAAAAAAAAAATAAGCTTGTTATGTTGAAAACCCAAAAGGGCAACTTAAGCAAAATAAAAGCAAAAAGAAGAGTGAGTTGGTAAGAACAAAAAAGGAAAATGTGGGAAGCTGGGCTGAAAACCCGAAAGGGCACCTAGGCAAAATGAGAGAATGAGAGAAAGTATTTCTTTTTGATTTTGCAGGATCCTGAAGGTGACTACTATACAGAGTTCATCAAATGAGGAAGCTGACATTGAAGACCCATTTTTACTCTTTTGGTTTTGGAGATACTTTATGTCATTTGCTTGAACACTTATGGTTGTTGGTGTTGCTACTTCTGCCATTTAAAGACTTCTTGAACAGAACTCATTTTACTCGAGACGAGTAAAAGTGCAAGTGTGGGGGTGTTTGATATGCACTAGTTTATAGTGCATAAGTGTATGCTTTTATATCAATATTGTGTAGACTTTCCATCACTTTTAGTTAGTTTGTAAGTATTTGTTTTATTTTAGTTGTAATTGTTTTTACCTTCTATTTCTAGCTATAGAATAGTGATAAAGTTGTTAGCAAACAAAAGGGGAGAAAAACTGAAGGCAGATAAACTCAGGAACACAGACCCGGTCGGGTCCCTCACTCGACCCGGTCGGGTCAGAATTGACCCGAAGCACCAGAACATGCTGCAGATTTGGAAAAGATTGGATTTTGGTCAAACCCGGTCGGGTCCCTCACTTGACCCGGTCGGGTCTTGTTGGTCCCTGTTTCTATTCTAGAAATATAAATAGAGCTTATAGAATGAAACCTTCCATTGATAGAGAATGAGTTTTACAGAATGATATTTCAAGGTAGCGTAAACTCTCTCTAGCTCTAGGCTATTGCGCAGGGAATTTCTGGGAAGGCCTAAGATCCCATTCCCTTTAAGGCAATATTTATATGCCTAGGGAATGGGTGATGTGACCTAAGTGTGATTGGGCCCTTTAATGGAGGTGGCCCAAATGCACACATTACAAGGCTTTACCTAAAATAACTAGTCTAATAATAGTCTATTAATTAGACTAAATGCAACACAAATACACTTAAGTAAGACATGATTTAACACCATAAAATATCTCTAACAATCTCCCCCTTGGTGTTCAATCTTGTTTACTCAGCATTGCAGCGCGGGTATCTTTGTGTTTGTGTTGCTTCATCAATGTGGAGGAGAGCATAGATGAGATTTGTTGGGTTGCTCCTCGTTTATCTTGATCTTCAATGCAGTTCAGCTTCTTTTGTCTTCTTGGAAAGGCTTCATGAAGAAATCCTTACAGTCTTCCCCTTGGTGTTATTGATTCAATTTGTTCTTTGATGCCGGGGGTTGAGGGATTCTTCAAAATCTTGCTTTTAGTCCTTGCTTTCCAGAAACTGCTCTTGATCAGCTTGAATGAAGTCATATGGCGCCTCTAGAATGAATGTTCTGAAGAGATCTAGGTGCACAAGGGATTCATCTTCAATATTTGATCATCCGACCTCTGTATCCTCCAGATTGTAGCCTTTTCTGACTGTTTGATCATGAATGCTTTTGAGGAACAGTTGTCGGTGGCACAGCGGAAAATGATGGTTGACTTGTGAGCATGGATGACCTTTAGATTTGAAGCTGACTTGGCAGTTGATGAACATGAGAGAGTAGAGAGCCATTGTTTTTGAGCTGGAGGAGAGAAGTGTCCGAGAATGATTTTTGAGAGTAAACAGCGTGTGGACCACTCTCCCCCTTTATGACAATCCAATGAATCGAGATGTCTTGCCTTTATTCTTTTATTCTGGAAAATTGAAAATGCAAAAAAAATGAAAAGATAAGAACCGGAGACACTGTGGTGTTCCGTTGACACAACATCAGTGTAAACATTGATGTGTGGCCTGTATATAATGATAGAAACGTTGTAACTCTAACAGGACTTCCAACCAATCATTGTGAAACATCTGAAGTAGATGTCACTCTGGTTGTTATGGCATGATCACTAGGATCAGCATAGATAATTGTAGCCCCCCGGGATCATGTAGACACCCGTTATCATCACTATGGAGATGAACTCTAAATGATGGCCTGAAAATGTTGGTGATTTCTATGTTGCAACATCAGGACTTCCTTCCAATCATCGGTCCACATCTATATTAGATGAGCCCTATGGAAGTTCTCGCATGGTCACTTGGACCTGCAACTGACTCTAAAAATGTGTCTGTGTCCTAGAAAATTCAAAACATTTAGGGTGAGATAACTAGACACGACGTGATCAATGAAAGTTCAGTGGCATGGGGCTGAGGGCCACTGTAGTTACTATCAGTCGCCTCAGAAGGAGACGGTGATAAGAGATGAGGTTCCCCGTGAACAGTGATTAAACACTTGTCTGTTGGGAGACAGGTGAGTGGTCTAGGGTAGGGTTGTGCACGCGCTGTTTGGACAAAATGCAGCGACTTCTACCCGGGATCTGAATAAATTCAGTCCTGAACCTATGGGGATTGTCTGGAGTATTTGAGTGACTGGGATTGATTCCTCGATTGATAGCTCATTTGAGGTAGCAGATTTGTCATTGATTATTGTCTTCTTGCTCATCGGAGCCTTCTGCTTCCTCACTCTCATAATATTCACTCAGTTACTCACTCACTCTCGGCTTTGTCTCTTGGGTAGGCTTAGTTGGGTTTACTAAGCCATTAGGACATCTCTCTCATTGATATGTTTCTTTATTCTCTCTCTGTACTCCCCCTCAACTGGAGCACTGAGTAGGATGTCTTTGACGATGTTTGGCGCTTGGGAGAAGAACTTTGAAAACTCCCCCTTAAAATTTGCATCCTTGAGAGAATTCTTGCATTTAATCTAGGTTGTTTGAGGGTTCAAGTTTGGGGTTGTTGGCTAGATGAAGCACCATGCTCGAGTATCCGTTGCCTCTTATTCTCCCCCTCATGAGGAGCCGAATCATTGGAGTCCTCATGCAAATGTTTGTGACCGCGGAGACTGTCATGGCATGTGCTTTCGGTTTCAGGTACTACAAAAAGAGCTCTTTGTTTGTCAGTGAGTGGAGCTTCTTCGTTTTCAAGAATTCTTGCTAGCATAATGGATGCTAGGTCATCGAATGGCATTGTAAATGGGATAGGATAAGGATTGGGGTGAGTTGTTGTTGGGAGTGGGAGGATGAGGGTTGAGTTAGGGTTTGATGATGTCATTAAGAAGCGTCGGGGTGGTCCTGAATTCCTATGCCTGAGCGGTTATTGCTTCGTGCACCCATGGTTTAATGGTGGAATCCAAGCAACGCTGCTGAATGACTGCAAGGTCGGTAGGGTTAGGGTTGTCCGGTTACAGGGGTAGTAACCATTGTCACAACATCAGTAAAGTTTACTGGTGTGTGGCCTGCAGATAATAATTGAGTTATCTGTTGAGCGGCAGGACTTCCGATCATCATCGAAGTATCTCCGATCGTTGTTGACAGGGAAAGTGGACCTGTAGAGTGAGGTGGTGTGAAAAGTGTATGTGTCCTAGCAAATTTGAAAATGTAGGGAGTGTGACACCTAGACTCAATGTGATAGAAGAAAGGGTAGTGGCCCGGGGCGATAGACCACTATGTACATCCTTAACTGCTCCGTAAGGGGGCAGAGAGGTGGGTATAAGATCCCCTATTTGTGAAACTACTACCTGTTGGGAGGTAGCAGAGTGGCTAGGTGTGGCTTGTGCATGCGCAGTTGGACAAGATGCTGCGTCTTCTACTCGGAAGCTGAGAAAGTCAGCTTCTGCTCCTATGGGGTCAGTCCGGTTTACTACATCTAGGTTTGTACACTCGTCAAACAGGGCTATTTCTTTTGTCAGGCTGCTTGCGGTTTGTATTCTCTGTGTAGGAGTGAATGATGAGGAAGTATGTCCATTTTGATGCTTGGAGCGCGTCTCACTTATGATATTTCCTTCTTTGTTTGTTTGTGAGTAAGACACCTCTATTTCTGTTTCCGTGGGGAGCCTGATAATGAGTCGGCGTTTTTGTACCGGAGGCTCCCTGGCTTGATTAGCGTTGTCGTCCGCATCATCATTAATCTCATCATCCTTGCTGACTTGTTGCGCTTGTTAGCGTTGCTACCGGAGCCCTCATCGTCAGCGTTTATTATTCTGGCTACGCTAGGCGAATCATGGGAAATCTCCTCAGCACGGGTGTGGCCCTCAGCAGACAGAGTCTGATCATCATGGGGCCGACTTGCCACTGGTCTTTGTGGCTGGGTAGAACTCTCAGGACCCTCACTATCTCTCGGCTGACTCCCCGGGGTAGGCTCAGGGGGGTTAATCTGAGCCATAGGGAGTATGATATTGTTCTTCTAGCAGTAGCGTCAGACAGATGGATCATTCAGATTAGCTAGCTGCAGTAGAGACACAAGTCTGGTGAATGGTAAGAGTGTAGGATCCTCAGTCACCATTTGAACGTACTTGAGGGATGGAGTGCTGACGTTCTCAGAATCTCAGTGGATAGTCTTTGGTGGATAATTGGAGTTGTTCTCCTTGATGGGGTACCAGTTCTGGATCCCGTAGACGGTCTTGATTGTTACTAGTTCTGCCATGACATCCTTGGTTTGTCTTGCATTGATCTTTGATTGACGCCAGGAGAAGAAAATTGTAACTCCCCCTCAGAATGTGCAAGGTGTTGTTTGTCACCGAGGAGTAAGGTAGAAAACTCCCCCTTGATATGTGCTTTCTTCTTGTAAGGCACCAGGAGGAGTGAAAAAGAAACACTCCCCCTCAGAATAAGCACTTGTTGTTTCTTCATGACATGTGTTGGTGTTGAGGTGTGCATTTGTTGATTTTCTGCTCAGTGGGGTAGTATACATGCCAATACTCCTCTTAATAATGTGCACCAATTGATTGCTCACAGCTCTTCTCACCCGCCATGTGTGTGGAGCAATCGGATAGGGTACCACACATGACGGACCTGCAAAACAGATTAAGTACATTTCGGTACCCACCTCCAAGTGGGTCCTTCCTTATCAATGTCAAAGAAATGTTTCAGCTTTTGTTTTATTTGGGAACCTAGGCCAGCTGATTGAGAAGTGTTTGACGTTCTTAGTTTCTCAGCTTCAGCCTTAGGAACCCATTGTTGTTTGAACTTTGGAGTGAGTGAGATTTCATTAAGAATGAGTGAATGTTCAGACATATGATCTTTTAAAATTGTTTCTTGAGAGAGTCTTTTCAAATGTTTAAGTGAGCGAACCTTGAGGGGATACCTTAAACACGGCAATTTGTACTCTCCCTCAAAGTTCACCTTCACAGCAGTTGATTTCTTTGGGCATCTCTGAACATTCACATTCTTATCTTTGATGGAGGAGGAAGCAGGCTCAAAACAGCAAACTTTCATTGGCTTAACACAATTCAGAGAACAAGTACTAGAGTAGCGATTCTTGACAGATGTCTTAGAACTAGAAAACTTAGGAGCCACTCTTTTAGCATTACTAGTCGAGGATTCGCTTAGGAAATTCCTAGGAACACCACTTCTAGTATTACTAGTTGAAAGCTCACTAATGCCAGATCTAGACTTATTCTTTACGTAAAACAAAGCACTCGAACGTCGATTATTATTTCCTAGATGAGATTCTTCTTGTTTCTTCCTCCTTCTTAACTTCTCCTCGATCCACTCTCCTCTCTTCTCAACTCTCTTCTTCACATGCTTTCCGGTCTGAGAAGGAGGCTCAGAGTGAGTGGAAGAAGTTTTAGAAGTATTGGTTGAATTTTCTAAACATTTTTCTGAGGAAGAGAGGGAAGAGGGTTGAGAAACTGTGATGGACTCAGAGGATGTTTTTAACATGGATATTTCTTTCAAAAGTTGATCCTTTTCTTTTTCTAAAACTTGTTTCTCCTTTTCAAAAGATTCTTTTAACTCAGCAAACTTTCTCACAAGAGGTGGAATGTATGCTGGTTTGACTACAGGTTCTGAAGCTGAAGGTTCCTCTCCATCTTGCACAATTTCCTTTTCAGGAGCATAAGTTATGACTTCATCAGCAGGTGTTAGCGGGGGTTCTTTGGTTTTGTAACTCTTGTTCAACTCTGTGTAGTCAAAAGGAACCTCGACACCAGCCTTTGTCTTTCTCTTTTCGTCCTCGAGGGCATTCGTTTCTTCAGCTCCAGTGAAGGCCATAAGCTTGGTCAATCCTATTTTCATGTATCTAACATCATAGAGTTGTTTACAGTTGACCTTTTTCAGGTTCTGAGGATTGGTCAATCCTAGGCCCTCCTTGGCGTTATAGAAACGAGTGTCCTTAGGCTGATTAAGGAAAATAGTCTGGTCTGTTTGGTCTCTCTTGGCTAACAGGTCTTCAAGTTCTTTGATTTTGGTGTAAAGAGCACCCCTTCTTTCCATAAGTAAATTGTTTACACCAAAAAGTCTAATTCTCTCTTTCTCAGTTGTTCTAAGCTTCTCTGTCAGTTCTTTTTCGCTAGTGCTAAGTCTTTTATTCTCAGCAGTGAGCTTAGTGATGATTTTCTCTGAATTGATACGTAGTCTGTTATACACACTAAATCCCGTATTAAATTTTTCCTCAAGCTCCTTAATTCTATCGTGTGGGTCAGTTCTAGAGCAAGTATAAGCAAAAGGATTAGAAGTACTTACAGCGCTGTCTGCATTCTTGTTTTTAACAGAGAGGGCAGTCACTTTATCAGTAGCGGTTGGGGTAGTCATGATTGATTGTTGAATGTTGATCGTTGACGTGTGGTTGATTGAAGTTTTTCTGCAGGTTAGTGGCTCTTGAAAATGTAGCTTTGACTTTGAGAAAAATTTGTCTTAACCTTGAGATTTTTTTTTTTTTTAATTAATTTTTTTTTTTTTTAAATCTCAAGGTTGACTATTTGAAGCTTTGAAAAAGTGTTGAGCTTTGGTTTAGGAGTTTGACCTCAATGTTTGAAGAGGAGCTAAAAATTAGCACTTGAAGTGGGTTTTGGAAAAAAAAATGTACTTGTTCAAGTGAAGGAAAAAGTAAGCTTGTTAACTTATCCCACACCTAAAACCCTTGGAAACTTTAGAGCCTATTTATATGGAACACTCCTTCCTTAAGATTAAATGGTGAAGGAGAAGAGGGGAGCTCTCGCGCACAGGGGATTTCGGCTTGAAGTTCAAAAACGAAAAATCCGCACCCCCCCTGCGCGGGCGACCTGCGGACACGATAGTCGCAAAATTTGTCATGATAAGATGATCATAAGGAAGAACTTTAAACTTGATGACAAAGTCCTCCTTTTTCAATCACGCCTTCGTCTATTTCCAGGAAAGCTGAGATCCCGTTGGACTGGACCATACAAAGTGGTCAAAATATATCCACACGGGGCGGTGGAAATTAAAAACCTGGAGACGGGAGAGGTGCTCAAGGTGAATGGACAAAGATTAAAACCCTTCTTCGAGGGTTTTCAACCCAAAAATGTGGAAGTCATGGACCTTTCTGAACCGGTCTATGAGTGAAGAACAACGAAGATATCGTCGAGCCACGACGTTAAATAAAGCGCTTCTTGGGAGGCAACCCATGCAAGGTATGTTCACTTTAATTAAATATTGCAGAGTGTGTGTGTTCAAAAATGAAAAAAAAAAAATAAAAAAAAATAAATTGAACAAACCCGACCGGGTAAACTAACCCACCAGGTCGGGTATTGAAGCCAGAACATTCTGGTTTAAAACTTTCAATAGACCCGACCGGGTATTTTAACCCACCCGGCCGGGTATGACAACCCGAACATTCTGTTTTAGAAAATTCAGGTTACCCGACCGGGTATATTATTTTACCCGACCGGGTAAATACCCGAAATTCTCACTGCCAGCCTCTGGAAAGAAAACCCGACCGGGTAAACTAACCCACCCGACCGGGTAATCGGGCTTTTCAGCCTATACCAGGTCGGGCGAACTCCCCTCCCCCCACTTCATCTTCCCCAATTCGAACACACCCACCCCAAAACCTCCATTTTCATATCTCCAAAGCTCCAAACCTCCCCATTTCTCCACCAAATCCATCAACTAAACACATTTTCTTCATCTCCTCAACACCCTCTCCCATCCTACACCCAAAAATCTCACCCAAATCCACTCATACCCAAAATCCGAAAACCCTAACCCCCCTTCTTCATAGGTCCGATTTTTCTCCCAAAACCCCCAACAAATCCCAATTTCTTCTCCTAATAATCATCCCCTACACTCTCACAACACCAAAACAACCAAAACCCACCAAAAATCAAAAGTTCCAAACCCCACCACACCCAAATCCGAAAATACCAAAAAAAAAAAAAAAAAAAAAATCAAGCTCCATGGCACCAAAAAGGGCAAAACCTTCTTCCTCAAGGACTCCAAGGGCTATTCCACCGGTTGACGGCTTCGAGGAGGTGGACCTTGCAACCGACGCACAACGCACCCGTTTCCTCGAACAATCCGAAAGAGAGGTAAAACCCTCCCGCTTTATCTGCCAAGCGACGTTGACTTTGTTCTGGATTGATGAAATCATGAGAAATATATTCACAAGGTGTGGCATGCTAAAAATCGTTGATATGCATTATTGGTCATATTCTCGTTTAGTGTATGAATTTTACAGTTCCGTTGAGCATGTGAGTGATGAAAATGACCACACTAACAACACGATCCACTTTCGCCTGCTCAACGCGGACCGTTCACTCACTAAAAGGGAATTTGCCGAACATTTCGGCCTACCCTTGCTTGATGAAACAGTCGCGTATAGTACACCGGTGGCCCATGAACTATGGAGAAGAATGACCGGGTCGGTCAAATTTGACACGTCCCACCTCAATGTAAACCACGTCCAACACCCGGTCTTCCGAATTTTTTTTAAATTCTTGGCAAATTGCTTTTTCGGGAGACCAAATAACCATCAAACTAGAGTGTGGGACATATGCCTCTTAGCACAAGCTGTCCTTCCGGGTGCTAGCCCATACGACGTCACCACAATGCTTTGGGACCATATTATCAATGTTAAAAATGGTGGAGGAAAGATTCTGGTGGAGGGGCTGATTACCCACATTGCCACACTCTACGGTTTTCAATGCAATGGGGCACTAAACTACAGGACCGTTCTTGGCCTTAAGTTCCTAAAACACGCTGGGGATGTGACCCTGTCACACATAGAGGGTGATGGCCTGGAGATTTATAATTGGCACATCAAACCCGGCCAAGAACTGTATTTCCCCTTCCCTTCCGAAAACCTCCCTCTTGACATCATCGATCACCAAATCGGTGATGGACGTCATTATTGCTTGCCCGGGGGAATCCCACCTCAGTATGAACCCCCAAACAATGAACAAGGAAACCCTGAAGACAACCCCGCAAACGAACATATTGCCATTGAACCACCCCTCATCCCTGAACAACCACAACCACAGCCCCATGCTCATCAATATTCACCATTTGAGCAAGAAATGCTAAATAGCATGAATGCTCTCAACCTTAACTACACTCAACTCCGGAATGAGTTCGGAGTATTTAGGAATGAGCAGCGGCAGAGTTTTGAGAGGATTGAAGAACAAAGGCGGGAGGATTGGCGTAGACATGAAGAGGACCAACGGAGAACCTTTGGTCCAATATACTCTTATGTGGCACACCAGGGGTCTTTTTCGACCATGAGCAACCCCCCTCCCGCACCCTCATGGTATAACCCCACTGAATGGGGTTATTTCGGCAGTTCAAGCTCTAGTGGAGGGGGCGGAAATGACGGGCACCACGGTGATCAAATGGATGAAGATGCTCACTTCACAGGTTACCACGGCTATGGAGGGTTCTATGATGGAGGAGATGCGGGCGGGCACTAGGGACAGTGCCTCATCCTAAGTGTGGGGGTGTTGAGAACTATTCCGGTATGTACCAATTTCATGCTCTTCATTATTTTCTTAAAAAAAAAAATAAAAAAAAAATAAGCTTGTTATGTTGAAAACCCAAAAGGGCAACTTAAGCAAAATAAAAGCAAAAAGAAGAGTGAGTTGGTAAGAACAAAAAAGGAAAATGTGGGAAGCTGGGCTGAAAACCCGAAAGGGCACCTAGGCAAAATGAGAGAATGAGAGAAAGTATTTCTTTTTGATTTTGCAGGATCCTGAAGGTGACTACTATACAGAGTTCATCAAATGAGGAAGCTGACATTGAAGACCCATTTTTACTCTTTTGGTTTTGGAGATACTTTATGTCATTTGCTTGAACACTTATGGTTGTTGGTGTTGCTACTTCTGCCATTTAAAGACTTCTTGAACAGAACTCATTTTACTCGAGACGAGTAAAAGTGCAAGTGTGGGGGTGTTTGATATGCACTAGTTTATAGTGCATAAGTGTATGCTTTTATATCAATATTGTGTAGACTTTCCATCACTTTTAGTTAGTTTGTAAGTATTTGTTTTATTTTAGTTGTAATTGTTTTTACCTTCTATTTCTAGCTATAGAATAGTGATAAAGTTGTTAGCAAACAAAAGGGGAGAAAAACTGAAGGCAGATAAACTCAGGAACACAGACCCGGTCGGGTCCCTCACTCGACCCGGTCGGGTCAGAATTGACCCGAAGCACCAGAACATGCTGCAGATTTGGAAAAGATTGGATTTTGGTCAAACCCGGTCGGGTCCCTCACTTGACCCGGTCGGGTCTTGTTGGTCCCTGTTTCTATTCTAGAAATATAAATAGAGCTTATAGAATGAAACCTTCCATTGATAGAGAATGAGTTTTACAGAATGATATTTCAAGGTAGCGTAAACTCTCTCTAGCTCTAGGCTATTGCGCAGGGAATTTCTGGGAAGGCCTAAGATCCCATTCCCTTTAAGGCAATATTTATATGCCTAGGGAATGGGTGATGTGACCTAAGTGTGATTGGGCCCTTTAATGGAGGTGGCCCAAATGCACACATTACAAGGCTTTACCTAAAATAACTAGTCTAATAATAGTCTATTAATTAGACTAAATGCAACACAAATACACTTAAGTAAGACATGATTTAACACCATAAAATATCTCTAACAATCTCCCCCTTGGTGTTCAATCTTGTTTACTCAGCATTGCAGCGCGGGTATCTTTGTGTTTGTGTTGCTTCATCAATGTGGAGGAGAGCATAGATGAGATTTGTTGGGTTGCTCCTCGTTTATCTTGATCTTCAATGCAGTTCAGCTTCTTTTGTCTTCTTGGAAAGGCTTCATGAAGAAATCCTTACAGTCTTCCCCTTGGTGTTATTGATTCAATTTGTTCTTTGATGCCGGGGGTTGAGGGATTCTTCAAAATCTTGCTTTTAGTCCTTGCTTTCCAGAAACTGCTCTTGATCAGCTTGAATGAAGTCATATGGCGCCTCTAGAATGAATGTTCTGAAGAGATCTAGGTGCACAAGGGATTCATCTTCAATATTTGATCATCCGACCTCTGTATCCTCCAGATTGTAGCCTTTTCTGACTGTTTGATCATGAATGCTTTTGAGGAACAGTTGTCGGTGGCACAGCGGAAAATGATGGTTGACTTGTGAGCATGGATGACCTTTAGATTTGAAGCTGACTTGGCAGTTGATGAACATGAGAGAGTAGAGAGCCATTGTTTTTGAGCTGGAGGAGAGAAGTGTCCGAGAATGATTTTTGAGAGTAAACAGCGTGTGGACCACTCTCCCCCTTTATGACAATCCAATGAATCGAGATGTCTTGCCTTTATTCTTTTATTCTGGAAAATTGAAAATGCAAAAAAAATGAAAAGATAAGAACCGGAGACACTGTGGTGTTCCGTTGACACAACATCAGTGTAAACATTGATGTGTGGCCTGTATATAATGATAGAAACGTTGTAACTCTAACAGGACTTCCAACCAATCATTGTGAAACATCTGAAGTAGATGTCACTCTGGTTGTTATGGCATGATCACTAGGATCAGCATAGATAATTGTAGCCCCCCGGGATCATGTAGACACCCGTTATCATCACTATGGAGATGAACTCTAAATGATGGCCTGAAAATGTTGGTGATTTCTATGTTGCAACATCAGGACTTCCTTCCAATCATCGGTCCACATCTATATTAGATGAGCCCTATGGAAGTTCTCGCATGGTCACTTGGACCTGCAACTGACTCTAAAAATGTGTCTGTGTCCTAGAAAATTCAAAACATTTAGGGTGAGATAACTAGACACGACGTGATCAATGAAAGTTCAGTGGCATGGGGCTGAGGGCCACTGTAGTTACTATCAGTCGCCTCAGAAGGAGACGGTGATAAGAGATGAGGTTCCCCGTGAACAGTGATTAAACACTTGTCTGTTGGGAGACAGGTGAGTGGTCTAGGGTAGGGTTGTGCACGCGCTGTTTGGACAAAATGCAGCGACTTCTACCCGGGATCTGAATAAATTCAGTCCTGAACCTATGGGGATTGTCTGGAGTATTTGAGTGACTGGGATTGATTCCTCGATTGATAGCTCATTTGAGGTAGCAGATTTGTCATTGATTATTGTCTTCTTGCTCATCGGAGCCTTCTGCTTCCTCACTCTCATAATATTCACTCAGTTACTCACTCACTCTCGGCTTTGTCTCTTGGGTAGGCTTAGTTGGGTTTACTAAGCCATTAGGACATCTCTCTCATTGATATGTTTCTTTATTCTCTCTCTGTACTCCCCCTCAACTGGAGCACTGAGTAGGATGTCTTTGACGATGTTTGGCGCTTGGGAGAAGAACTTTGAAAACTCCCCCTTAAAATTTGCATCCTTGAGAGAATTCTTGCATTTAATCTAGGTTGTTTGAGGGTTCAAGTTTGGGGTTGTTGGCTAGATGAAGCACCATGCTCGAGTATCCGTTGCCTCTTATTCTCCCCCTCATGAGGAGCCGAATCATTGGAGTCCTCATGCAAATGTTTGTGACCGCGGAGACTGTCATGGCATGTGCTTTCGGTTTCAGGTACTACAAAAAGAGCTCTTTGTTTGTCAGTGAGTGGAGCTTCTTCGTTTTCAAGAATTCTTGCTAGCATAATGGATGCTAGGTCATCGAATGGCATTGTAAATGGGATAGGATAAGGATTGGGGTGAGTTGTTGTTGGGAGTGGGAGGATGAGGGTTGAGTTAGGGTTTGATGATGTCATTAAGAAGCGTCGGGGTGGTCCTGAATTCCTATGCCTGAGCGGTTATTGCTTCGTGCACCCATGGTTTAATGGTGGAATCCAAGCAACGCTGCTGAATGACTGCAAGGTCGGTAGGGTTAGGGTTGTCCGGTTACAGGGGTAGTAACCATTGTCACAACATCAGTAAAGTTTACTGGTGTGTGGCCTGCAGATAATAATTGAGTTATCTGTTGAGCGGCAGGACTTCCGATCATCATCGAAGTATCTCCGATCGTTGTTGACAGGGAAAGTGGACCTGTAGAGTGAGGTGGTGTGAAAAGTGTATGTGTCCTAGCAAATTTGAAAATGTAGGGAGTGTGACACCTAGACTCAATGTGATAGAAGAAAGGGTAGTGGCCCGGGGCGATAGACCACTATGTACATCCTTAACTGCTCCGTAAGGGGGCAGAGAGGTGGGTATAAGATCCCCTATTTGTGAAACTACTACCTGTTGGGAGGTAGCAGAGTGGCTAGGTGTGGCTTGTGCATGCGCAGTTGGACAAGATGCTGCGTCTTCTACTCGGAAGCTGAGAAAGTCAGCTTCTGCTCCTATGGGGTCAGTCCGGTTTACTACATCTAGGTTTGTACACTCGTCAAACAGGGCTATTTCTTTTGTCAGGCTGCTTGCGGTTTGTATTCTCTGTGTAGGAGTGAATGATGAGGAAGTATGTCCATTTTGATGCTTGGAGCGCGTCTCACTTATGATATTTCCTTCTTTGTTTGTTTGTGAGTAAGACACCTCTATTTCTGTTTCCGTGGGGAGCCTGATAATGAGTCGGCGTTTTTGTACCGGAGGCTCCCTGGCTTGATTAGCGTTGTCGTCCGCATCATCATTAATCTCATCATCCTTGCTGACTTGTTGCGCTTGTTAGCGTTGCTACCGGAGCCCTCATCGTCAGCGTTTATTATTCTGGCTACGCTAGGCGAATCATGGGAAATCTCCTCAGCACGGGTGTGGCCCTCAGCAGACAGAGTCTGATCATCATGGGGCCGACTTGCCACTGGTCTTTGTGGCTGGGTAGAACTCTCAGGACCCTCACTATCTCTCGGCTGACTCCCCGGGGTAGGCTCAGGGGGGTTAATCTGAGCCATAGGGAGTATGATATTGTTCTTCTAGCAGTAGCGTCAGACAGATGGATCATTCAGATTAGCTAGCTGCAGTAGAGACACAAGTCTGGTGAATGGTAAGAGTGTAGGATCCTCAGTCACCATTTGAACGTACTTGAGGGATGGAGTGCTGACGTTCTCAGAATCTCAGTGGATAGTCTTTGGTGGATAATTGGAGTTGTTCTCCTTGATGGGGTACCAGTTCTGGATCCCGTAGACGGTCTTGATTGTTACTAGTTCTGCCATGACATCCTTGGTTTGTCTTGCATTGATCTTTGATTGACGCCAGGAGAAGAAAATTGTAACTCCCCCTCAGAATGTGCAAGGTGTTGTTTGTCACCGAGGAGTAAGGTAGAAAACTCCCCCTTGATATGTGCTTTCTTCTTGTAAGGCACCAGGAGGAGTGAAAAAGAAACACTCCCCCTCAGAATAAGCACTTGTTGTTTCTTCATGACATGTGTTGGTGTTGAGGTGTGCATTTGTTGATTTTCTGCTCAGTGGGGTAGTATACATGCCAATACTCCTCTTAATAATGTGCACCAATTGATTGCTCACAGCTCTTCTCACCCGCCATGTGTGTGGAGCAATCGGATAGGGTACCACACATGACGGACCTGCAAAACAGATTAAGTACATTTCGGTACCCACCTCCAAGTGGGTCCTTCCTTATCAATGTCAAAGAAATGTTTCAGCTTTTGTTTTATTTGGGAACCTAGGCCAGCTGATTGAGAAGTGTTTGACGTTCTTAGTTTCTCAGCTTCAGCCTTAGGAACCCATTGTTGTTTGAACTTTGGAGTGAGTGAGATTTCATTAAGAATGAGTGAATGTTCAGACATATGATCTTTTAAAATTGTTTCTTGAGAGAGTCTTTTCAAATGTTTAAGTGAGCGAACCTTGAGGGGATACCTTAAACACGGCAATTTGTACTCTCCCTCAAAGTTCACCTTCACAGCAGTTGATTTCTTTGGGCATCTCTGAACATTCACATTCTTATCTTTGATGGAGGAGGAAGCAGGCTCAAAACAGCAAACTTTCATTGGCTTAACACAATTCAGAGAACAAGTACTAGAGTAGCGATTCTTGACAGATGTCTTAGAACTAGAAAACTTAGGAGCCACTCTTTTAGCATTACTAGTCGAGGATTCGCTTAGGAAATTCCTAGGAACACCACTTCTAGTATTACTAGTTGAAAGCTCACTAATGCCAGATCTAGACTTATTCTTTACGTAAAACAAAGCACTCGAACGTCGATTATTATTTCCTAGATGAGATTCTTCTTGTTTCTTCCTCCTTCTTAACTTCTCCTCGATCCACTCTCCTCTCTTCTCAACTCTCTTCTTCACATGCTTTCCGGTCTGAGAAGGAGGCTCAGAGTGAGTGGAAGAAGTTTTAGAAGTATTGGTTGAATTTTCTAAACATTTTTCTGAGGAAGAGAGGGAAGAGGGTTGAGAAACTGTGATGGACTCAGAGGATGTTTTTAACATGGATATTTCTTTCAAAAGTTGATCCTTTTCTTTTTCTAAAACTTGTTTCTCCTTTTCAAAAGATTCTTTTAACTCAGCAAACTTTCTCACAAGAGGTGGAATGTATGCTGGTTTGACTACAGGTTCTGAAGCTGAAGGTTCCTCTCCATCTTGCACAATTTCCTTTTCAGGAGCATAAGTTATGACTTCATCAGCAGGTGTTAGCGGGGGTTCTTTGGTTTTGTAACTCTTGTTCAACTCTGTGTAGTCAAAAGGAACCTCGACACCAGCCTTTGTCTTTCTCTTTTCGTCCTCGAGGGCATTCGTTTCTTCAGCTCCAGTGAAGGCCATAAGCTTGGTCAATCCTATTTTCATGTATCTAACATCATAGAGTTGTTTACAGTTGACCTTTTTCAGGTTCTGAGGATTGGTCAATCCTAGGCCCTCCTTGGCGTTATAGAAACGAGTGTCCTTAGGCTGATTAAGGAAAATAGTCTGGTCTGTTTGGTCTCTCTTGGCTAACAGGTCTTCAAGTTCTTTGATTTTGGTGTAAAGAGCACCCCTTCTTTCCATAAGTAAATTGTTTACACCAAAAAGTCTAATTCTCTCTTTCTCAGTTGTTCTAAGCTTCTCTGTCAGTTCTTTTTCGCTAGTGCTAAGTCTTTTATTCTCAGCAGTGAGCTTAGTGATGATTTTCTCTGAATTGATACGTAGTCTGTTATACACACTAAATCCCGTATTAAATTTTTCCTCAAGCTCCTTAATTCTATCGTGTGGGTCAGTTCTAGAGCAAGTATAAGCAAAAGGATTAGAAGTACTTACAGCGCTGTCTGCATTCTTGTTTTTAACAGAGAGGGCAGTCACTTTATCAGTAGCGGTTGGGGTAGTCATGATTGATTGTTGAATGTTGATCGTTGACGTGTGGTTGATTGAAGTTTTTCTGCAGGTTAGTGGCTCTTGAAAATGTAGCTTTGACTTTGAGAAAAATTTGTCTTAACCTTGAGATTTTTTTTTTTTTTAATTAATTTTTTTTTTTTTTAAATCTCAAGGTTGACTATTTGAAGCTTTGAAAAAGTGTTGAGCTTTGGTTTAGGAGTTTGACCTCAATGTTTGAAGAGGAGCTAAAAATTAGCACTTGAAGTGGGTTTTGGAAAAAAAAATGTACTTGTTCAAGTGAAGGAAAAAGTAAGCTTGTTAACTTATCCCACACCTAAAACCCTTGGAAACTTTAGAGCCTATTTATATGGAACACTCCTTCCTTAAGATTAAATGGTGAAGGAGAAGAGGGGAGCTCTCGCGCACAGGGGATTTCGGCTTGAAGTTCAAAAACGAAAAATCCGCACCCCCCCTGCGCGGGCGACCTGCGGACACGATAGTCGCAAAATTTGTCGGGTCTCAAAAGATAGTTTTGCCCCTCCTTCCCTTTTTTTTTTAAATTAATTTGCAGCTCTTTTATTTTGCTTCCAGGTTTCACGATCGCGCACCAAGTAGGATTACACAAGGGAGAATAGCGCAAGAGAGTCCAGATCGCGCAAGTGGGTTTCGCGCAAGGGTCCTGGATCGCGCAACACCTGTAAGATCGCGCAAGGAACAGTCTCACTTCGTAGATCGCACACTCGGAATGGATCGCGCAAGGAACTTAAATCACGCAAGAAGCCAGGATTAATCGCGTATCTGCAAAAGTTTTTCGCACAACCTGAGAGTTGCGCAAATACAAATACCGAACCTACAAATCGCGCAACACTGATTAGCACAGGGTCAATCGCGCAACACTTAAAGAAGCTCGCGCAAAGAAAATCGCTCAAGTGTATCGCTCAAGTCCTAAAACGCCCAAAAATCGCGCAGGGAGTGTTGCGCGAAGTTGAAATCGCGCAGGCGTCCTTTTTGCGCTAAACCTGTTCTTCTTCCCTGGGAGTTGCGCGAAGAAGCAGTATCGCTCAACTCCAGCTTAACCTGTACGCCAAATTTCTGATTGTGATTTTTCACAGAATGAATCCTTGCAAGCCTAGAAACACTTTCCTGTAAACATTTTCCTGCAAAAATAACAACAAAAATAGAACAGAAGATCGCTCAAGTGTAAAACTTCGCTGATGAGTTTCGCGCAAGAGTTTTCTTCCGCCTTCAATCGATCGATAAATCGCAGAAACTTCAATCGGTCACACGCTCGTCTCTGATACCAATTGTTGGTCCCTGTTTCTATTCTAGAAATATAAATAGAGCTTATAGAATGAAACCTTCCATTGATAGAGAATGAGTTTTACAGAATGATATTTCAAGGTAGCGTAAACTCTCTCTAGCTCTAGGCTATTGCGCAGGGAATTTCTGGGAAGGCCTAAGATCCCATTCCCTTTAAGGCAATATTTATATGCCTAGGGAATGGGTGATGTGACCTAAGTGTGATTGGGCCCTTTAATGGAGGTGGCCCAAATGCACACATTACAAGGCTTTACCTAAAATAACTAGTCTAATAATAGTCTATTAATTAGACTAAATGCAACACAAATACACTTAAGTAAGACATGATTTAACACCATAAAATATCTCTAACAGGTCTGACTTGACCCGGACAAGTTAACGTGCAAAAACAAGAAATCGTGGGAGATAATCCGATTTTGACCGGTACCCGGTCGGGTATGTACCTATACCCGGTCGGGTACCCGGCCAAAGGTGTTGAAAAACACCTATAAATAGCACACTTTTTCTTCACAAAAGATCATCCCTTCTTCCATACTCTTAAGCTCAGTTTAGAATAGTTATTTCTTATATTTTTATAGCATGTTTAGTCTCCAAATGAGGAGCTAAACTTCCATTTCTTGGTTTTGCTCTTGAAGCTTGTTGATTATTAAAGTTGTGAGTTAATTTCTTACTTTCTCCTCTTGATTATTGATTCTTCCCCTTAACCTCATTCTATATTGATGTTGGAGGGTGGCTAAGTGACGATTAGTTAACGTTCCAACATTGATTATTACTAGAAACGATCAACGAACCGATGGTTAAACGTTGATGGTTTCACAAGTAAGTAACTTCGGTTTATTAATGCACGGTCGTGGTTAATAAACTTAAGAGGGATTAATTTTGTTGGTTAAACTGAAACCGTTGTGTTGAGGTTATCAATCTCAATTGATTTCATCTAGGAGTTAAAGAGGTTTAATGCTACTATCAAGTCGGTATATGGCGGTGTTCTATACATGACTAATAGTAAGGGTTATTAATGAACGGTCGTTGTTAATAACTACCCTCGATGAATTGGATATACTCCTCGATTGAGTATTCGAGAGGGGATAAGTTATAGATATAACAATGATCGACTAAAATATATCAACAAGTGGAAAGTAGCAAGACCAAGTCCCTTTTATTCTTGAATTTAATCCCATATAACTCGTTCATCTTCGTGTTTTATTTAATTAAATCACTCAAAAATCAAAACCCCCCTTCATTTACTATTTATATAAAAAGAAAGTTATTCCTTTCCCTGTGGATACGAACTCTACTACGCTATACTACGTATAAGTGTTAGTATTGAATTTATTTTGAGTGCACACACGACAAAGTGCACGTCAACCACTAGTGTTAAGTAATGTAACTCACGTTGATGAGAATGATTTGAAAAATCATTTTTAGCCAAAAACTGTCATTTTTTGCCAAACAAATATCGTTTCAATAGCAGATGTAACTCGTGTTGATGGAAAATGTAAATTAGGTGTATGCAAAATGTAACTTGTTGAGGCAAGTCCAAATGTAACTCGCCATAAGAAAATATAACTCACGCATAAAAAGATATAACTCGCACATAAGAAGATTTAACTCGCGCATAAAAAGATGTAACACACGCATAAGAAGATGTAAGTCGCACATAAAAAGATGTAACCCGCGCAAAAGAAGATGTAACTCCATATATTATCAAATGTAACTCCATGAATTGAAATGACAAACTCAATGTCTTTAAAAACCTCTAAAAATATATAAAACAAATAAAAATATATATTATAGAAAAAAGTGTATGAATTGAAAATATATTATAAAAAGTGTATGAATATAAAAAATATTACAAAATTAAAAATAGTGTATGAATATGAAATGCAATATACTTATTTTATTTAAATTCATAAATTTTTTGTAATGATTGGTAAAGAATAAAAAATAAATTGAGTTATAATTTAAATTACAGATAAAGAAAACTAAAATTGCAATTATATTTTTAGTACTTTGATAGAGAAGGAGGAGAAAAGAAACATAAAGAACAAAAATGATGCACTCCACTACTTCGGGGAAGAAAAAGAAAGAAATGTCAGACATATTAGTGCGCATTAAGGACACCGTTCACACGGTATAATGATCCCACTGTATACTTTGCTATTACATGTAATGGAAAACAACCATTCTAAAAAGTAAAGACATTGATAAGACAATCTATAACATTATTAAAAACATTATTAACATGTATGATAACATAGAATATAATGGAGAGTGACAAGAAAGAAAAAGTTACAAAAGGAACTCCTTAAAATTAAAGAACTTAGGAATTGAAGGATAGATATTTATTAAAGATTTTTCTAAATTCAAGTCATCTAAAGAACACTCCAAAGTCAAACCTTTCAGATGAAGCAAGAAAAAGCTCTTTTTGACTTTGATATGTGGTTTGTGGAATCAGGGGCAGAACTAGGATTATTTTTGGGGGGCTAAAAACTAGGTCAAAACTTAAAATGCTTAAATCGTACTCCATAATAAAAAATTTCCATTTAAGGTTATATAACATGATTATCTCAAATATATAAGGAAATGAATAATACATGCTAAGGTATATTCCTCTCGGTTCAAGGGCCCAACACCTTCCCTTGGTCTTTCGTTGGATGTTGCTGGATACCGGGGGGCGTAGCTCACCTGGTATGAAGAGGGTGCCACAAGGGAGAGGTCTCGGGTTCAACTCCATGCAATGGCTTGGGTTGGAGCCCCACTCTCTTTCTATCAGAGTGTGATTAAAGCCCAACCTACATCATCCTAGATAACTGTCCGGTCGGTTTTGGGGGGCTCAGGGATGGGGTGTCATCCTTTTTTTTCATGGGATGTTGATGGGTTGGGTTTGTTTTAGTGGATTAGTTAATTGTTTGTGGGCACAAGTAATAGCAAGAAAGAGTAGGAAAGGTAATGTGAACAAAACTCTATTGATGTCTTAGAACAACTACATCAAACCCTTACTGAGAATATATATATGTGTGTGTGTGTATATATAGGGAGCGATTCCAATGAGAACCATTCTTAACGTGAGAACGTGAGAACCATGCACTTTTAACACATCTCGGTGCACTATGAGGCTCATATATTGCACTTTTTAAATTTTGGTCAAAACGTGCTAATATCAAATAAATGAGGTGGCAGATTTCTAAGTATTTTGTCAACATGAAAATGTGCAACATATATATGATATAGTGCATCACATCTGCTTAAAAGTGGAGTTCTCACGTTCTCACGTTAAGCATGGTTCTCATTTGAACATATATAGGGAGTGGTTCTAATGAGAACAACTCTTATTGTAAGAAATGAGAACAAATCTTAATCACTCATCATAATTAATCAATGGATGGAATATGTTGCGTACACCTACTTTTGGTGTGGACAAACATAGAGAATGATTTCCATGCCTAGACAATTTGCTTTGTAGTGGTTTATTTAAGGGTAAATGTGTATATGTGAAAATGAAAATTTATTGTGAATAACTTCTCACGTCTCCCACTTCTCAAACTAGGAAAGTTCAAGATACAATTAATACTACTTACTAAAGTAAGATCAACTAAAAAAAATAGAAGGTGCTACAGGTTTTGCATTGCATAAACGGTTGTCTTCTAACACACAATAAATTCATACAAATTGCTTCCTCCGTTCGGTTATAAGTGCAACATGCACTTTGACACGGAAATTAAGGAACAAAGTAAAGGTGATCGGTTTCACTCTTTTGCCCTTTCAATTACGG